GACAACAAGGTGAATTTATATTGCAAGATTTAGTTTTTATGATACGCCACTGTAAGTTGGCATTATATGATAGATCTAGTCTTGAGATGATGGGCCCCTTTGTCTATCTAGCTCTTATAGGCCCCATCTTGACACAATGGGTCAAGTTGTCTACCTAGTTATGATCGACCTTGAGACAGTGGGTCAAGTTGTCTGCCTAGTTATGATCGACCTTGAGACAGTGGGTCAAGTTGTCTACCTAGTTATGATCGACCTTGAGACAGTGGGTCAAGTTGTCTACCTAGTTATGATCGACCTTGAGACAGTGGGTCAAGTTGTCTACCTAGTTATGATCGACCTTGAGACAGTGGGTCAAGTTGTCTACCTAGTTATGATCGACCTTGAGACAGTGGGTCAAGTTGTCTACCTAGTTATGATCGACCTTGTATTGAGACGTTTGGTCCCCAAGTCTACCTAGCTCTGGTAGGCCTAAGATTGAGACCATGAGTCCTTGTCTATCTAGCTATGCTAGTTCCTGTCTCAGATGAACATTTGCTCATGATGATGGTTTCCTTGTCTACCTAGCTCTGACGTGCATTTAAGCGTGATGATAGGCGCTCTTGTCTACCTAGTTCTGATAGGCCTCAGTTTGAGACGGTGGGTTGTCTACCAAGTTCTAATAACCTCTTCTCCGGCGAAGGTTTGAAGCTACGCAAGCAAGTAATTAATCTACAGCTGAGGGATAGTCAACGACGATAAACTAGTATGCTTTTTGCGTTAGTTTCACTGAGTGTTACATATCATTTCTCCGTTTCTTTTGAGGCTTGTTTAGCTTGGTGTTACGTTTCATTTATCTGCTTGTGTTTAGGCTAGTTTTGCTTGATTTACGCATCAGTTATTTGCTTCTGTCGAGGCTAGTTTTGCTGCTCCACCAACATGTTACAGCTGATATATTTCGATCCATGTTTGGCAGTGGGAGAAATTTTAACAAAGTGACCCGGGCTATCATTTGGTGATACCACCTAGAAGCTCTCAAGAAAATTTTCAACAAAGTAACTGCACTTATTTTATTTCACAGACAAGGATTGACACAACCAGTTAGCAAAAACGAGAAACTTTTTAAAACAGGCCAAACACATTCAAGCTAACGAAACTCACCTTTGCAAAAATAGATGAATGAGTACTTAATACTCGATATATGCTGGGCTACATAAAACAACGACCACCACTGCAACAAGACGAAGGTTTTTTTCCCTAACACTACAACAAGTAGACTGCAATCAACATGCGTACATTTCCTTTCACACAAAACGTTGCTTCCTTGCTTTTAGTGTCAGTGTGTCAGGTTGTTTATTAACAGATAAGACAAAATCCTTCTTTAAGTAATCTCGTACACAAAACAACACGCTACATTCACTTTCCAAGGAGATTACGTGAGGGTGCTTATGTTGAGTGATCTTGTCGGGAGCCATACTGAGTGAGGTCATTTGTCGCTTCAATGAGTGAACTTATTTTGTCGGTAGTCATGTTGGCGACAACCCTTTGTCCAAATTACTGTAGTCTAGGATTATATTGACGATGATTACAAAGCGCAGAACAATATTGATGCAAGCCTTTGTAAAGTGCATTTCTGATGTCCAATACATTCTAATTTTAAATTTTCTAAATACAAAGTATAGCCATCAAAATGTATATTTAAAATTTTACTAAATATTATATAACACTATATTATTATTTGATAATAATTATTTCAAAAGATATATGTATTTGAAGTAATAATTTTAATCTATTCACGCCCATCTCAACTTGTTGCTAAAGATCTGTACTTGTGTTTTCTAAGGCGCAATCATGCAATGATCGATTAGATCAAATATCACTATTGTTAATGCTTTTAGTTAAAGCGGTTTCAAAAACCGTTGCAAATAAAAAGAAAACAAACGAAATGAAGAATGCGTTTTAAATAAAAAGTAAATGATCGTGGGTTCAGTAAAGGTAAATTTAATAATATAATCTGAGTAAAGTAAACACAAGATTTATACATATATATATATATATATATATATATATATATATATATATATATATATATATATATATATATATATATATATATATATATTATATGTGTGTGTCTGTGTGAGTGTGTGTGTGTAGTAGGGTGTATTTTATTTAATAATACACATACAGTAGCCTAAGTGTGATAAAGTGTGTGTGTGTGTGTGTGTTTGTGTGAGGCTTTCTGAATGCTAACGTGTTTGAGTGTACGAGTGCACGTGTGTGAAGAGTGTATTGTCAATACTCTGAAACAATGGATTCACTTGACTTCTAGAGTGTTAACGAGAAGAGCAGATAAAAAAACTCTTAGTTTCTGGGTAATGTTTCAATCAATGGCGGAACTATATAGACGCCACACCACGCCATGTACTCTAGAAGGTTATGTAGAACCAATCAAAAGGACCATAAGTACATAAGATTAAATAAAATATAAAAACTTAGTAACTGGTGTTATTGCTCTACTTTTTTTAATTGCCTGGGTGGTTTTAACAACCAACGCTAGTTTATTGTGAAAACTTTACTTAATTAAGTTTTTAACAGCTTTTCTCTACATTTTAATTAATTAACGCTAGTTTAATGTGAAAACTTTACTTAATTTTCTAACAGCTTTTCATTATATTTTAAAAAATACTTAAAAAAAACTTTTTAAAAAACCACGTTTTTCTTGTGGACTAAAAAGTAGAAAATAAATTTTCATACATTTGATGACAAAAAACGTGGGTACGTTCACCATCAAATTTCCCGACCCATCTGCCCGACCCATGTTTTTTGTCAGTCATTACAAGAACCTGCACAGCTCGAGGAAGCACAAAAGAAAAATTTATTTTCTACTTTTTAGTCCACAAGAAAAACGTGGTTTTTTAAAAAGTATTTTTTAAGTATTTTATTTTCTCCTTTTTAGTCCGTTGCTACACATGAAAAACGTGGTTTTTAAAAAGTTTTTTATATAGTTTATTTTCTACTTTATCTAGTGACTTGATTAAGTATGACTTGACTAAGTGTTTATAAATACACGGACTAAAAATCTTGAGCAACCGATACGCTTTAAACAGAGAAAGGGCGTAATTTAATTAAGCCTACATGCCGTGACCAGGATTCGAACCTGGGTTGTCGCGGCCACAACGCGAAGTACTAACCACTATACGATCACGGCCAGCGCGCTCACATCAATTGGGGCCGAAGTAACTGTGTCAATAGGCATCCAGTCTTGTCGGTATGTTTATAAATCATGTCCTCGATTTTATGGTCCTTGGGGTGTAATTTAATTAAGCTAATTTAGGTCTCTAATTGCTAGTTTTTATGATTGCATCTGAAATTGTTAGGCGAAAATAGCCTGCATGCCAAATTTCATATCTCTAGAGCAATCAGAAGTGGGCTAATTTTCCATGTCAATTTTAACAGCAAACATCCAAACAAACAAACAAATAAACGCGAAGCTGAGTTAAGAAAAACGTGTTAATAAAAACGTGTTAAAAATATGGGTTCAATTTATTTTTAGCATTCAGATAATATTTCCCCCTATACTCTTTTATGAGAAAGTTTTTTAAAAAATTGTCAAACTACAGTCAAAATATTTTATGAATAATATCTCTGGAAAAATATTTCACATATTGTATTCCAAGCAAAATATTTCGAACAAACACAATATCTTTAATGATCTAGAGCAGGGGTCTCCAAACTACGGCCCGCGGGCCGGATGCGGCCGTTAGGTCCTCTAATCCGGCCCGCGGCGATCTTTTTGTCCACGGAATAAGTGTTTGTTAGAAATGGCTGAGGAGCTTTGCTTCGAAAATTCAAAACAATTTGAAAATGTAGCTTCGGGTGCAAATACCATTGTCCGTCGTGTTGTATACATTGGTGAATACATTGTGACTCAAATAGCGAAAAACGCAAGCAAGTTTCGCTATTTTTCAATTGCAATGGATGAGTACCTGGACAGCTTTTCCTCCTTAACTTATTGTGTTCATTAGAGGTGTGGATGAAGACATAAACATAACAAAAGAGCTGTTAACGGAGAGGATATCTTACCATAGATAGTGCAGAGACATGTTGAAAGATACACACACAGAATCGCAAGATTTCCTATATTTCACAGCAGTAATATGGCTAATTTGCGAGAAAGTTCTGAGCAGAGTATTTTAGTTAAGAAAGTAAATAGGTGACTTCCTGGAAAGTAAAGGCAAGCCACAGCCATTAATGTCTGATGAAGAGACGGTATAGAAATTGGCCTCCCTGCAGACATAACTAGTCATTAAAATTTTCTGAACCTAAAACTACAAGAGAGGGAAATTTAGTTTCTGATCTATACACCCACCTAAAGACCTTCAGATCCAAACTTGTCATGTTTTTGGAACAGGTACAGGCCAACAATTTAACGCACTTTCAGCAGTGCAATGTCTTTATGACTGAAGCAACAGCTGAGTTCCCCACGTCATTTGCATGCGAGATCACCAAAGACCTCCAGCTGCAGTTACAGTAGCGGTTTTTTTACTTGGATTCAAAGGCAGAAAAAGTGAGACTGTTCCAGAACCCATTTGAAGCAAACGTGGCCAGTTGCAAAGGTGAACTGTAGCTTGAGGTCACTAGAGACAAGTTCACAGAAGGGCGGGTGGTTTTTATAAGTGTTTGCACAAAAAAGACTTTCCGGATATAAAAACTTTTGCATCAAAGTATCTTTCAAACAAGATACCTGTGTGAACAATCATTTTCAAGAATGAAATACATGAAGAATAACGAAGAGTGAACGTCGATATATTTAGAATATACAGTTCGTCATTTTATTAAGTGAATATAAGTGAATATGAATAGAAAACGAAAAACATAATGAATACAATTTGAATTTTAAACTGAAATTACTAATACGAAAATAATAAAACGTAAAGAAATTACCATGCACGTGAACAAACTAAAAAAAAATTTTTTTAAATGAAAAATAAAAATTTAGTAAGACCTAAACAAATTTGAAATTATCTTGCCGATCTCCGAGTTTCAACGACAGATAAAAAACCAGCCACTAAAAACATAACAAGACTAGAGATGACTAGGTCAAAGGACCAGCCCACGCTAAAGGAATATTGTTTCGACGGTAGAAAAAGTCTTTTAATTTCTCCCGCTGCCACCGCGATACCAATTGCTCCGAACAGAACTGAAACAGAAAGAAACATGTATTATATATAAATTATGTATGTAAATATATATATATATATATATATATATATATATATATATATATATATATATATATATATATATATATATATACATATATATATAACCCGTAAGTCTCGAGTTCGAATCCGGTTTCGTAGACCGTCCCTGAGTCCACCCAACTCTGATGGGTACCTATTCACATTAGGGAAAGTAAAGGCGGCTGGGCATAGTGCTGACCACACTATCTCTTCATATGCCGAGGTCACAGAGACAAGTGAACTCTACTTCACTTGCCCCATAGACCGTCAGGTTTGAAAGGGAACTTTACTTACTATATATATATATATATATATATATATATATATATATATATATATATATATATATATATATATATATATATATATATATATATATATATGTAAGGGTCTACATCAAATTCTTGAATGACACTTGCCCAAATGCCCTTTGACCGAAGACCGATTACTCGAATGGACGTTTACCAGAAAGAAACAAATAACCTAATGGAAGATCATCAAAATCGGACAAATGTCGGAATGGAAGTTTACTGAAGATATAATGTATTTTCTAATTTGAAAAGAACCTTTTATTAAAATTGTGAACTGACCTGAAAAGAATGCCAGCCCAGCAGTACACAAACCCACAAATTTGTTTCTTTTAATCACAAGAGCTGAAAGTGTCAACAAGATGACCAGAGACTGACCAGTCAAGCATATGCCGAGGAAGACACGTGCAGCATAGGCCCAGGCTGTTGAATGAGAACAAAAATTATATTTGTTTGAAAATAAATCATCGTGATAAAGTTTAAACAACCTTAAGGATAATACAATGCAAGGTTTTTTTTAAAAAAAAAGGAAATTCTTCATTACTTTTAGTTTTTTTTATAGTTAAATTGTGAAGAGTTATAACCTCCAATACACTTTTCTTGATTCTCCCTCCTATTCACCCTCCTTTCAATAAGCAACGTATAAAAAGTCAGAATATTAATATCAAAAAAACATTACCTATACTGATTTCTTTTTCGTCATTTATATCAAGACATTCATCGTCTAGGGCACACAATTTCCATAATCCAACATAAAGAACATCTTCGAAATCGCCAATGTGGTTTGTACAGTAGCCGATGATGTTCAGTAGTAAACCTAAAATATTCAGCTAAATCTGTTTTTATTTTAATATAATTGTTAGCCCTTGTCTGTAAGTTGCATTTGCAATTTTGCAAATTTTAAAATAAAACTTATTAATCCGCATTTCAATGCATTTCTTTGCATTCATGAGATGTAACAAAGATTTATATATGTTCAATAACAATATAACACCACACATGAGACATGGCCCGTCTTTTACATTTGACAACACATTACTGGAATTACTAATACCAGTCAAAAAAGGCAAAAATCCTCAAACTTACATTTCAATGCAGAATTATTCAACTTGGTTACTGACATAACATTTTTTTTAAAAACATATATAAGTGTGAATAGTAAACCTGCATTTACACAACTCAAAATTCACAAAGGTAAATGTCATTTTCTCAAGTCCTACACTAATTGCACTGCTTAGGTAATCTCAGAATCACACGTGTAAAAGTTCCTTTTCTTAGTCCTTATTTTATTTCTTGCACTGTAACGTAATCTCAGAATCACATGTGCAAATGTTATTTCTAGTACTAACTTTACTTGCACTGCTATATAATCTCAGAATCACACGTATATGTTTCTATACTAATTATGGTTTCTCTACTTATACTGCTTCAAATGCTATTTAAATCTTTCTTTGAGTACTCAGCGGTACTGACAACAATCGAGCTCGACACTCAAGCTGCAAGAATATTTCCAACCAAGGAAACAAGACATCAGCCTCTGGTACAACATCGCACTCAAGCTGCAAGAATATTTCCAACCAAGGAAACAAGACATCAGCCTCTGGTACAACATCGCACTCAAGCTGCAAGAATATTTCCAACCAAGGAAACAAGACATCAGCCTCTGGTACAACATCGCACTCAAGCTGCAAGAATATTTCCAACCAAGGAAACAAGACATCAGCATGTAGTACAAACATCGACACTCAAGCTGCAAGAATATTTCCAACCAAGGAAACAAGACATCAGCATCTGGTACAAACATCGCACTCATACGGCAGGAAGATTTCCAACCACGTCGGGACTCTAGTACAACATCGGGCCACACGTATAACATCCAGTTAGGCCACAGAAATTACAATAATGATCACAGGAACGAAGACATCGGCCGCTGGTGTAAAAACTAGGCCATAGAAAAAAAAACATCAGTT